AATATCACTGTATCAGTGTAAAAGGGAAAAGATATTTATGGACTAATACCTTTATGACAATGGCCAAGTAAAACACTGCACCTTTGTTGAGGGATCCCAAGCAGAATTTTATTTTTTATACAACTCTCTTTGCGGTTCTTGATATGTTTTTGATTAAAAACTAGAGCCTGTCATTAGTAGAGAAAAGGGGGGAAAGAAGATCTGCTATTTCCCTCATTTAGGAATTGACAGAACTGAGGGGGTTTCTGCTGATATGCCTGTGGATTTGCAAGGGTTGGAGGCAAGCTGTCAACTCCTGATCATGTCAACCAAGTATCTGGAGCTTAAAAGCCAGTAACCAGAAATAAGGAACTTGTGGTTCACATAAAGTTCAATGAAAGAATATGATTTAGAAAGGAATTTGCAGTCTCAGAGTTTACAACCCTGTAAATGCTACCCCAAATAGAAAAAAACAATGGTCTGAATATCAGGATATGGAAAACATTCTAGTAAGAATCTGCTGCCAGCAGCCACGATACCTGAAGAAATCACCCAACCTCTTTCGGATTCATTTCCATCCAACTGCAGGAGTTGGTTAAGCTCATAAAAGGAGAAATCTTTTTTATAATGACACCATTTTGAAAGACATAATTTTAAAAGATACCAAAGACTTCAGCTAAAATTGATGATGAACAGCAAAAGTGTCTCTCAGTGCCTGGAGGGAACATGGGTTGGAAATCAGGAAGTCCAGTCCAGCAATTTTCTCTAAGCCATGGAGGACGTGAACTGGAAAAGCATGCTCCCAGTACACACAGATCCACCATCTATGGGAAGGGGCTACTTAAATACAATGGTACAAAGTGTATGAAGAACTAGCAATCCCCATCACAACCTCACACATCCCCTTAAGAAAGGGAAGCAATGTAGTATTCTGGAAAAGCAGCAGAGAAAGAGGCAATGGACTGGCTTCTCAGCAACCTACCACGAACCATGACAGCCCTGCCCAAATCAGTCACTCCCCATCATCAAAGCACTGGGCTGGAGGTGGACACCCTCTAAAGTCCTCTTTGAGAGCTGTCTTTGGACAGCAAGTGGGTCAATCAATAAAGTCAAATCCTCACTACTATTTTATAATAGTAATGTCCTAAGACCATTTTCATTCATTACCAAAAATTTTACTGCAGGGGTAACTGCTACCTTTTTCTCGCAAACTTAAATTTTAAAGTCTTATTCTTTGAACTTTCACATTTCAATTTCTACATAGAAAAATGAATTTGAAAAGGATAAAAATAAATTTTAAAATATATTAAGTAGCTTTTTTTTAAAAAAAGTATCTCAATTCTTTCACATAATAATGGGATAAAACTTGAGTGCTATTGGTTAGTTGAGTGACTTTTAAAATAAATTCCAAAAAACAAAAACAAGATAGGCCGTACCTTTCTTAAGCTGGATATTAAGCCTCTTGCCTATCTTTTTGGTGTTATAACCACTGCTTACATTTGTAGTAAATACATTCTGTGGTGTGGGAGCTGGAGCCGGAGCTGAGGGCGGTTTTCCAGAGGGGTGTGCACTGTGAGGTAGTCGTGGGTTTGAGTCTGTCTGCTCAGGCAGCTGGTTCGGTCTGGGTGCTCTCTGCAGTGTGTGAAGCCCTGCGCTGTTCACACTCCTGTTATCCATATACTGGCTGTCAGGGCTGAAGCGGCTAGAATAATAATTGTTCTTCTCACTTTGAGATAGCTGTTCATACTGCTCTTTATTTGCTGCAGGAACCACATGGAACCAAATGATGGGTGTACGCATGGCTTGGCGAAACATATGTTGTGCTCTGGGTTTGAGAAGGAAGAGAAAATTAGCAAATTAAGAATGGCAGACTAAAAGATATTATGAGCTTAATTAAGTATACTAATTAAGCAATAAGATCTGACAGACTTCAAACTGAACAGCAAAATTCTAATAACCCATTTAATCAATCAAGTTTGCAAGCTCAGATATAAGCATAGCTGTTTCTCCAAATATAAATTTCTCATTCTCTAAATAAAAATAGCAAAATTATCTATAGTTACGTATAAAATACTGTGCTTGCAACTGTAAATCATTAAACAATTTTAAGTACAATGGAGGTATAATTTCAATATTAATAGAAATCAAATCCAACCTCCTCCCTACAACATTATCCAATGCAACTTGTAAAAAATATAAAATTTCCTTATAGAGAGACCATTTGATTTTTCAAAGAAATAAATATCTTTATAAATAAACTTAGAAAACTACAGAAAGCAACTATTCATTACTTATCAGCAAAATTAATTCAAGTCTGTGTATGCAAAAATCTCCAGAACACCAATCCAGCTTCAATGATTCAAAAGGTTAAAAGCAGCGGGTCCCAGTGCTATCCCCATGACCAGCTGAGAGGCAGCTCCATCTCACACCAGTTCTCCAGTTAGGTCTCACCCCACACTTAAAAGTTCTGATCACTCATGCCTTGTTTTATAGGAACTGGCCAATTTTTATTTTTTTAATTGAATAAAAGCTTGAATCAGTATAAAGATAATCTGAGTATAACACAATATTGTGTTTCAAAGGAGCTTTCTCTGCTTATTTGTACTGAGATGTTACGTGCAAAGTTGAAGTATGAGTTAAAGTATAATAAAAATGAGCACACTGGTCAATATTCCAAAAGATGAGGAAGCAGCAAAATTATAAAGCCTAACTTGGTTCCATAATATTTTAAAAGAGCTTTATCATTCAGAGAGTATTTTGAAATACAGTCTAATGGTAGTAATTACCTTGAGTTTGACTAAATTTTTAAAAAGTAGATAATGGCAAAAAATACTCCTTTCCAGTACACAAGAGATCACAGACATGCTGTTGGAAGCATTTCAATTGAATGCACTCTATCAGGGCTAAGGCGTGCAAGAGAGGCAGTGCAGCCTGTACACACTTACTGCTCAAATCTTCTGTTTCGAAGGTCACCACCATTAATCCTGACAATGCAATCATTCTCATGAAAAAGGTTTTCCTGTTCAGCTTTACCACCTTTCTCCAATCGTTTTACTAATAACCCCAGGGTTCTGGAACATTAAGAATGCAAATGGTTACACATGTAATCTTTCCACCATGCATAATGCCCTACTGCTGTAATGCTGGAGTTATATTTACAAAGGCTTCCTTATAAAGGGATGCATTAAATCACTATTAATATATTTTAAAATACACCAAGACAAAAATCACAACAGTCTGAATAATGTATAGCAATGGATCCCTTCAATAAATGTAAGAAATCATTTTCTGGCTCATCAGTATTACATTTCTGAAACAAACTGTATTCTCTGTGCTTAAAAATGCTCCAAACAGAGCTTGCCTAATGATTCAGCAGATATTGCAGGGTGCAGCATGGATGATCATGGATTTGTGAATGGCCTGGGCAGGTTTCTGTTTTAAGGCAGCTGGTACATTGCTGATTGTAGCCCCTGTCTCTCCACAAAAGCAAAGGTAATGAGGAAAACCTAACCCCATTGCACTGTAAATTTGAGAAGGATCAGAGGAAATATTTAGAGAAAAGAAGAGTTTCTGTGTTTTGGCATTTGAATTTGATAGTACCTAATGTTCTGAATTTCAAAACCTGTTAGGTCTCACAAAAGAAAGTAATTTATTACCAATATTCCCACTTGAAGAAAGACAGGAGAAAACTCAGTGGGAGGTTCCAATAATGGCAGTCACCATTCATCTCTTCCATTTGTGTTCTCAAACTTCAGGTAGAAAGAAGTTTGAATGAACTTTTAGAGATCCAGATGGAGTAAAAAGTAAAAATTACTAGTGCACTTGCTCTAGAACACTAACTGCTTAACTAACAGCACATTCTACTTGCATATATCCCGGGACAAATAGTAAATACTTTTTGAATCACAGTATGAGCAACAAGAGTGTTTACTCAGTTCTGATTGCTACTGTTTGCTTGCTGGTTGGCATAAAGTCTATACTATGATCATGTCAAAATTTTTATGTAAACTAATTTTTGGCACTTCCAAAGTTTGCATT